TCCATAGTATGTGTTATATATGTACCAGGGGCTGGTGGATTACAAGCCATGGGCCAGATCTAATTCATGGCCCGTTTTGTATGACCTCACAAGCTAAGAATGGAATAAATTCAGCAAGCCCTGATATAGAATGTACAGAGTTCAGCATAGATTCTGGAGCCACACCTCCTGGGTTCTAGAGCCTCAGTTTCATAATCGCTAAAATGAGAATAATCTATGAAGCATGACTGCCCTACAGGATTGTTGGAATAAAATGAGATAAAGAATATAAAGCTCCTACCCTCATGCCAGCCTCTTTGGGAGGGCTGGAAGAAGCTGTATCTGAGCCTGTGCCAGGCTTCTCAACCCAGTGGGCTACCCTAGCCCCGCGCGTGGCTTCCTCAGAGCGTTTCCTTTGGCAGGAGAGGGGCCTGCCAGCTGCCCACTGTGCCGTGTCCTGCTGCTAGGTCAGCGCTGCCTTCCTCCCACCCCCATTCCTGCTGACTGTCAGCTGGTGCCGCTCACCAGGGCCGGGCGCGGAGCCCGCACCAGGTGCCGAAGGAAGCCCGCGGGTCCCAAGCCCGTCCCACTGTCCACCTTGTTCCTCAGGTCGGCCTGGCTGAAACGCCTGTGAGCTGCAGGACTTGTGGCCTGGGGCTCGTCCTCTCTGTGTGCATTTCCTCACTCATGGGCCAAACAGGCAGACATCTGTGTTTCCCCAAGCCCAAGCTTTTGGCTAATGACTGCCTTCCTCCCAGGGAAAAGGAAGGAGAAGGGTAATCCCGGGCCAGCCAGGCTCCCTCTGTGAAAGAGTGGTCCACAAAACAGATTTTTCAGTGGCTAATGAGTGAAATGTAAAGATAATTACAAACTCAGATCATTGAAAAAAAAATAATCAAAAGTATTTTCTGATCTGGATGGGGATGGGCTTCCAATTTTTACAGCAATGGGAGAAATGATTAAGTAAAAGAGCAAGAAATTGTACTATGTAGAACCACAAAATTTATGTTTTACATCAAAACACCCAAAGCAAAATTTTAAATAAAACTGAGGAATAAATATTGATACCACATATGCACAGAATTAATACTCTTAAAATAATCTTAGTAAAGCTTTTGAGAACAACAATGGAAAATATTTATTTAGTGCAGTAGTGCCCCCTCATCCACAATTTTGCTTTCTGTGATTTCAGTTACCCATTGTCAACCATGATCAGTCAATATTAAATGGAAAATTCCAGCTGTAAACAACTCATAAGTTTTGAATTGCACGCCATTCCAAGTAGTGTAATGAAAACTTGCTCTGTCCTGCTCCATCCTGCCCAGGATGTAAATCAACCCTTTGTCCAGCCCATCCATGCTGTACATGCTACATGCCCATTAGTATAGGAAGAACCAGTATAGGATTTGGTACTATCCATGGTTTCAGGCATTCACTGAGGGTCTTGGAAAGCGTCCCCTGCACATAAGGGCGGACTGCGATACTATGTATTTTATATGTATACTTACTTGTTTAATCCTTGTAAATGAATAAGTATGTATAAACTTTATGAAAAAGGTACTATTATTATCCCCATTTAACAGATGAGGAGACTGAGGCTCAGAGAAGCTAAGTAACTTGCCCAGGGTCACAGCTAATAAATGGAGGAGTTGGGATTTTGAACCCAGGCCATCTGGCTTTGGGGTCTGAACACTTAAACTCTTCTATATAAAACAGGGAAAACTTGTAAAGCAGACAGTACACAAAAGAGGAAATACAGATATCTGAGAAAAATAAGAATTATTTTTCAGTTTCAGTGGGAATGAGAAAAATAATGAGATACCATCTTTGCCTTTAAATTAGAAAAGATTTTTAAATATTATAATAATGAATAACTACTGACAATACTGAAGTGATACAGAGATTTGCACAGATTGCTGCAGTTATATTCGAGTAGCCTTTGTGAAAAGTATTCTGGCAGTACTCAAAGCAATACTCAGGAATCTCAAAAATGTCCACGCCATTTGACCAGAAATTCCCATTCTAAGAATCTAATTTGAGAAAATAATTAGAAATATAGGCAAAGATTCACACACAAAGATGTTCATAGAAATGTTATACAAAATAATGAAAAATTAGAAACAACCTATCTGATAATAAAATGCAGGTTAAGGAAACTGTTTAATCTCCATAGTGGGCATAATTAGGCAGTCATTTTAAGTAATCTTTATAACAAAAGACACCATAAACAAAGTGAAGAGACACCACAGACTTCTGGGAGAAGACACGATGCTTATAACAAAGGATTATATAAACAAAAGAATATACAAAGAACACTTACAAATTAGGAGGAAAGAAAAGGCAAGCAACCAAAAACAGGCAAAGAAGGAAAGAATGTAAACACACTACATAGAAGAAGCAATTTAGGGGTAGTATCATAAAGAGATGCTTCATCTCACTAGTAGTCAAAATTGCAAAATAATTACATGTACTTAATAAGAGTCGAAAGAATGTAACAGCAAAAATAGAAGGAAACAAATTCATATCCACTGCTGATGGGACTATAAATGATGAGACTGCAGCCACAGTGAAGAGCGGTTTGGCTGTACCTGTGTGCCTGTTCAGTCGTGTCTGACTCTTTGTCACCCCCACGGACTGTAGCCCACCAGGCTCCTCTGTCCATGGGATTATCCTGACAAGAATACTGTAGTGGGTTGCCATTTCCTCCTCCAGGGGATCTTCCCGACCCAAGGATCAAGCCCATGTCTTCAGTGGCTCCTGCATTGGCAGGTGGATACTTTAACCACTGAGCCACCTGGGAAACCCTTGGCCATACCTGGTAAATGTAAGCATGTGATTCCACCACACCCACACTTCTAGGATCAATGTGCACAAACACCAATTTGTACAGGGACACGTGTTCCAGGATGTTCACTGCAGTGCTGTTTATAGTAGCAACAATAGTAATAGGATTGTTGTAAATTATACATTGTGTAATAAAATAGCAGCAATGATCATTAAAGAACTGTCCATCAGAAGGGAAATGGGTGAGTAAAATATGATTTATGCATAATAGAATACTATGCATAGTTGAAATAAATGAACTAAATCTGTAACTGTCAGCTCAGATAGATTTGGTATAAAGAGCAAGTTACAACAAAAGATATATTTGAGTGACGCTACTTATGTAAATCTTTAAAACAAACTAAAAATATTACATAGTATTTAAGGACACATATATGTAGAAAAATATAAAACAAGCATGCAGGCAATGTACACCAACTTCAAATAATGGTTACTTCCTGGAAGGAGGGAATGGATAGAAGGAGGGCCAAGGATGAGAGGTGGGTCTTAAATGGTATCTTTATAATTGATTTATTTTTTCAAAGGTTGAAACAAATGTGGTAAAATGTTAACTTATGTTCTAAATCTGATTGGGGAACATGTCTTTCTGTTAAATTATTTGTACTTTTCTGCATTTTGAGTGTTTTCAAAATTTCAAACAAATTATTTTTAATTTACTTTTTGAATAATCTGTAATTCTATGGAGAAATGTTTATGTTATTAAGGCAGAAAAGCAAGACAATAAGTACACAAATATTTACAGGTTTCACAAGTTGAAGATTTGAAAGAGATATTGAAAATATTCGTAGTGGGAATATTCACTGGTGATCCAGTGGTTAAGATGCAGGAGGCATGGGGCGATTCCTGGTCAGGGAGTTAAGATCCCACATGCTGTGTTGTGCAACCAAAAAAAAGTAAAATAGTTAAAATATTAATTGCAGTGGGCAAGATTCTAGGAGTCTGCTTTTCTTTACACCTATCCATATTTTTCTTCTCCCCCCCTTTACCATGAAGATGTATTACTTTTATATCCAGAAAAAAAAAAAATTTTTTTTAACAACCACAGAAAAATGTGAGTGAGTTTAGTTAGACTCTAGGAAAGGGTCCAAAACCTAGGAAGAGGTGCTGTGATGGGGTGGGAGCCTCATGGGCTGTCAGAGAGATGTGCGCTCTAATGCTGGCTCAGAGATTGGCTGTAGGGTTCTGAGCTCTTCAGTTGTTGATCGATCCAGCGAACCCTGTGGCGGCAACTGAGACAGGGAGGTGAACAGAACATCCGTGTTCCTCCCTCACTGCAGAGCAGACAGTCTCGTGAGGAGGGGAGAATAAACCCATCACCACCCTGACCATCTATCCACCGCCCACGGGGAAAAGTACAGGGTGATGACAGGAATCCAGGTTGACTGGGTGCTGGGGAATCTGGCCTCTGAGCATGATCTAAACAGAATCTGAAGGATGAGGGGGGTGTAAAGCCCAGCAAAGCCGGGACTTGGAGAGAAAGGTCAGCCCAGCAGGGCATGTTTCAGGAGCTGAAGGAAGCAGGGGTTCTAGCATGCAGTGGGGTGGGGGAGAGTGTGAAAGGGGAGCCCTGCAGGCTGGTCCAGAGCCAGACCACTCTGCTTCACTGGCCAGAAAAGGCCTTTACAGGCGGTGGGAAGTCAGTGAAGGGTTGAAGCAGGGGAGTGACCTGGTTGGATCTGTCGTTGTCAGAGATGATCCTGATGCTCCTTGAAGATCGGAGTGGATGGTGAGCAGCCTGGTTAGTTGGCTGTTGGTGTGGCCCAGATGAGAGAAAATGGGGTTGGGATCAGGAGATGGAGGGGTGGGGAAGGATTGGAGAGACTTTCAGAGGCAGAACTGGCAGGTCTAGGAGTGTGTGTGTGTGTGTGTGTGTGTGTGTGTGAGTGTGAATATGAGAGAGAGAGAGAGAGATGCCTATAGAGGGGAGGGGGAGGGAGGGGCCAAGGAGGAGAGCCAGGTTTGAGGCAGGAAGGTGGCGGGTGAGTGGGAGTGAAGAAAAGCAGACTCGGGAGGGCAGGGGAGGAAGCCAGCAGGGCGGGCAGGCCCCCAGGTGTGGCTGCGCTTTGGTTTCCTCAGGGGTAACCTGGGGTCCTCAGGGATACCGCACCCCCAGGGTGAGTGTTTCGGGCCTGTTCCAGGACCACGGCTACACCAGTCTCTCTCTCTCTCTGCCTCAGGTGGTGTATGTCATTCCTGGGGCTGGAATGAGCATGGCATGTGCGGGGACGGCACTGAAGCTGACGTCTGGGCCCCGAAGCCCGTGCCGGGCCTGTGTTCCTCCTTGGGACTCCGTGTGGGCTGCGGGGCCGGCCACTCCCTGGCCCTTTGCCAGCTGCCAGCCCTCCCTGCCCTGGGCCAGCCCCCCAGCATCACCAGTCCTTCCCCAGATGCCGCCAAGGAAGCCAGAGGTCAAGAAGCTGTGGAGCAAGAGAGAAACCAGAATGAAAGACATGCAGAAACTTCTCCCCAAACCCAACCTGACAGGTTCAGAAATGGGCTTGTGGCAGAGACCCTTGAATAAAGTAACCTTACCCACCTAATGTGTCCCTGGAGAATTGCTTTGTTGGGTTGCAGCAATCCTGAGAGGGATTCAGGAGGCACTGCGGGTGGACCAACAAGACCAGAATGATGGGTGGCTGCCTGCCTGGTGTCTGGGCTCAAGAAAACAGACATCTTTTCTACCCAGTGCATAGGAAGCCTTTACCCAAGGACTTAGGAAGGAGCAGGAAGGCTCCAGCCTGTCCCTAACTGGTGGGGACAGAAAGTCCAGCTCTGGGGTTTCATTCTCAGCACCCAGAGCATGCAGTCTTCTGGTTCAAGGTACCCTGGTTCGGTATACCCTGATCCGGTGACTGAATACTTGGACAGGATGGAGTTCTTTCCTTGGTGACTGGGACCAAGGGAGGCGGCTCTGGAGTGGGGGTGGGGGAAGCGTAATGAGTAAGTGGAGGAAGAGACAAGACTTCTGGAAAGATCGGGCCAAAGAGACCCCTGGGACAGACAAGGGAATCTTCAGAACCAATGAAAGTCCCCGGGTCAGTGTCTTCCTCTGAGCCAGGCAGGACTCTGCAGTCAGTCTGTGTGGCTGTAGTTGCCAAGCTGTATTTCCGGGTGAGGGACCAGCACCTTGTGGGAGGCAGGGTCTTAAGGGAGAGCAGCATCAAGAACCCTAACGCCTGAGCTCTGCCCCCCAGGCCCTTGGCCTCTGCAGGAAGGGGGCCATCAGATGAGAAGGGGACCAGGCCAGACCACAGGCCTCAGGCTTCCCTGGGTGGCAGCTATGGCTCTGGGGCCATAGCCTGACCTCTGCTGTGACTGCCAGCAGGCCTGTGGCCAGAGGGCCTCAGAAAGTGGCTTTCCCTGGGGGGCAGTATCGCCAACCAGCCAGCCAGGGCTGTGGCACATTGCACAGCGCCTCCCTCTGACTCAGGAGAGCATTTGAATCTGGGAATACTAGGCTCCAAAGGCTTGGGAATATTACAAAAGCCCAGGACATCATGACTGGAGGACCTGTATTCACCTTCTAGCCTAGTGGCCTCTACACTGCATTCCAGACCCTAGCAGTCTCCTGAGATTGACAGCAACCTCCTGACAGTGGCCACCGTGTGGCCTGTGGGTAAAGGAAAGCCAGCTACACAGAGGTCTGCCCACCCCCCAACCTTATTCACAGCAGCATCATTTTAACCTGTACATATATCAGGCTTCACATAAGATTTCACTTGACAAGGGGTCCTTGAAAACATTTTAAAACCACTGATCTTATCCAACATTTTTGTTGTTCATGTGGGGAAAGAGAGGCCCAAAAAGGAGAAGGGACCATCTTAAGGTCACATACCTCACTCCTGGCTCAGGGTCCTAATTGGGAGGTGACCCATCCAGTACTTTGAGCCAGACAAGGGGTACAGACAAGGGGTGGCCCTGAGATCAGCGGGGGGTTTGACTCAGGAGAGTGGGGATGAGGGCCATCCTGAGCTCCTCAGGCCTGCACCTAGAGACCACCCATGGCCACTGGCTGACCTTGAACACCAGTGCATGGAGTCCACATCACTGCGCTGGCCAGCAAAGCCTTTGGTCCTCCCACACCCCGGGGCCAATAGAGGCCAGTGCAACCTCTAAGCACTTCCAGAGTGGAGGAAGGACTTGCCTGGACACTCTGAGCTGGTCTTGCCAAGGTGACCAAGCCTTCGGAGATGGAGCGATCGGATGGCCCAGAGATGACCCAAACTGGAGCAAGTCCACCATTACTGGCTGCCACCTGCTGTCCTACAGGCTAAGTGGTCTGCATCAGAAGCCAGCCCCACATGGGTTAGTCCTCAGGCCCATATCTTTTAGACAGGGTTTCCATGCCTAAGGAAACCGCATGCTGTCTGTCTTACAGCACAGCCATGCGGAGTTCCCCCTTCCTCTTCCGGCACCTGCTGGAAGAAATCTGAACACCGAAGCCTCTGCTGCTGAGCCCTCATGCTCCTGCCAAGGGTTCCTTGTGGGGCTCCTTCCCAGCCTGAGTCAGGGTAAGGTGGTGCATTGGCCCTAAGCCTCAGAACCTGAGCCAGACTCTTCTTAGAAGCCTGTGGAGCCCAGCTATCCATGCATGCCAGAATGAATGGCAGTAGACGACACCTCAGACCCTTCAGTCCCCTCCAGTGACAGCAGTGGACAGGCTTCTCCACGTCAGCTCACTGGCTGGATCTAAGCAGTGCCTGAAAGCCCCAGGTTGGGGGCGCTTTCAGGAGGGTGAGGGGCTGTTGGCAGTGTCTCCCAGACTTTTTTTTTTTTGGATCCTCTGAACCCTATTGGTTATTCACAGACTTGTAAATGCCCAAGCCCTTCATTCCTACTAGATCTTGAGCTCTTCATGAGCAAGGGACCAGGTCTTGATTGATTCTGGAACCCTTCACCAAGGACGGGTCCTAGGACAGAGGATGTGCCCAATGGGTAATAATGGATGAGCTGGTCAGTACACACTTAGGGTTACCATAGGGTGGAGAGGCTGAACGCATGGGCTCTAAGATCCCCTCAACCCCACCCACCCTCTGCTTTTATCTCTAACAAATGTTTGTTAACTATGCTATGGATAGCCAATCATTTGATGGTGATTAGCTAATGAGCCATAGGAGCCAGCTTGAGAAAATGCCCACTTATTTCTAAGAATGATTTTTTTTTCTACTAGACTGGCAAACTGGCCTTCCCCTCTCCCCCCACCACACTGCCCTATGAGAATGAGGGAAGGAGAAGGGAGTGAGATCCCTTGTGTGCTCACAGGACTTAAGTCTGAGGCTCCTGGAATGACTATTGAAGGGCAGCCACGTACCAGGTGTTTGGGGGATGTTTACATCCTAACCTGCCACACAGGCTCCCCTTGACACCCCACCATCTTCGGTCCTAGCGGGTTATCAGGTCAAAATTTGATGAGACTATGCTTGAGAATGGTGAACCCAGGCCAGGGGCTCAGAGTAAAGCCCTCCACCTGCATCCACCACTTCTGAGTGAAGTGACTTAGTGATAAATCGAAATTGGAGGGTAGTGAGTCAAAAAGTGGAATGGGGGTTCCAGGTCCTAAGGGGCAGTGTCCGAATTCCCCAGCGACCAGAGCGACAGAGAGGTGAGTCGGGAGAGGAGATCCGGAAGGCCTTGCCAGCCAATTTAAGGAGCTCTGGCTTCCTTCTCAGGGCAACGGGTGTTTAAGCAGGAAATCGAGGTAGTCAAATATGTGCGTGGAAAGCTCAGAGCAGCAGGTAAATGGCCCATCTGTCACACCCATGGCCTGAGGACCCTGGTATTCAGGACCAGTGACTCCGATGTCCCAATCAATTCCACCTCCAGCCCCAGGAAGTCCTTGATGAGGACTTGAGATGGCTTCACCTAAGCTCTGTAGTCAGACCACTTGGGTTAAAAACTTAGCTTCATCATTCATCAGCTGTGTGGCTTTGAACCAGTGACTTTACCTCTCTGTGCCTCTTCTCTTGCCTCTGTGATGGGCATGTTGAGTTACTGTGGGTCATCATTAGACAGCGTGTCTCAGGTGTCCTACACATGACAGATGCTGAGTGTATGTTAATCCCTGTTCCCTGTCAGCTCCCGTGTCCCTGAAAACCCCTGTTCCAAATGGCCTCATGTCAAGTCCCACCTGAGTCCCCCAGAGGCACTTCTTCCAGGAAGGACCCCAGCTCGAGGGAACTCTGGTCTCCCTGCAGCCGCTGACACTGCTTGGCTTCTCCGTCCTGATGCTTATGAGTGGCTGTTACTCATGTGGTGTGGATCAGGCAGCTCTGTGGCCATGTGACCCCTGGGCGGAGGTCTCGCCACTCACTGCCCCACTCATCACCACCCCCCTCACCGGTTCCTGGACTGCACAGGGAGCCAAGAAGCTGAGGTAAGTGCTCAGAGGGGATGAGAAACTGTTGGGTGAGAATTCGACACCTCCCTTCAGACTCCTACCCACCCGTATGATCGTTGACTTGGCCATGCTGGGAGGGATCGAGGGAATGGAAATCCGGGGGGAACTGACCTCCACTTGTGTGTGGCCCTGGTCAGAGCAACCCCCTCTGGGTCTCCATTCCTCATCTGTGAAGTGTTCAGAGGTGGCCTGCCATGACCATTAGGGACGTTTCCACCTGAAATTCTCTAATGGATAGGAAAAGAATTGGAACCCCAATCCCCAACCTGCCCCCGACCAAAACCAAGTGAAATACCCAAGCAAATCAAGACCAAGTGAACAACTCAAGCAAATCAAGACCCTAGGAGAGGTCTGCACCCCTTCAAGACACTGCCAGGCTGAGTGAAGGGTATGTGATGAGGTAGCTGCCAGACAGTGCCCAGCAAGGGTACAGCTGGGTGGGGCACCCAGACCCATCAGACCCCTGCCTCTGTCTCCAGCAGATTCAAAAAGGACCCTAGGAGGGACGTGACCATGGTCTGCATGAAGGGCAGTGGTGGGGGCAGGGGCTAGGGACTCCACATAACCAGATTCAAGGGTCATGAACACGGCAGGATCCACAGAGACGTTTCTATGTTGGGGAACCCCCTGGAGGTTGGGCTTGTCTTAGGTCAGGGCCTTTTATGCTAATTCCTCCTGAGAGCTGCCTGCCTCCCCCCAACCAACAGGATCTGAGGAGGGGCAGGATGGGGTGGGCGGAGCAGTCCTGGCTTTCCCCCAGTGAGAGGACAGCCTGCACCTTGGATGGGTCCCTGAGACCAGAGGAGCCAGGGCTCAGGCTCACCCCACCTCAGCCCAGCCGCAGAAGGCCCGACCAGGGGCCCAGAACCGAATTGCGACACTGCTAGAGGCAATAAAAACCCAAATTCATGCTTTATGTCCAAAGTCAGCTTTTTATTATCAAGGGCCAGGGCCCAGGGAGGGGAGGGTGCTGAACTAAAGCAGCATTTCTCTCTTTCCAGGAATGTTGCGAGCTGTAATGAGAGCTTGAGATGTTGCATTTTTTTTCAATTCAAGCATGTGTTTTTCAAAAATATCATCCTTCCCCACCCCCCACCCCACCACTAATTTTAGAATCAGACCAAAGCCAAGCTACTGTCCTCTGTTTCTGTTGGGAAAATACTATATTTATTCGAGATGCAGAAGTGCGTCTCTGCAAACCTCCGATTGCTTCAGGAAAACAAATCTGCTTTAGACTATACAGAAACCATGATACAAAATTTATTTCATGCTAGAATCGCTTTGCATAACATTGGGCATGCAGTTTTTTTTGTTTTTTTTTTGTTGTTTTTTTTAAACTCTGAAGTACTAAATTGCATACAATGCCGGGTTGTGCCTTGATAAAGGTGGAGGAGGACTGGCCCTCCCACAGTCCTGATCTTTTTTGGTGCTCTGAAAGAACACTTGAAAAATCCATACGGTGTTGATTATCTACTATGAACACTTTGTTATGAAAGTTGGTCACACTGAATCTACACACTGCTAAGATGATTGAATCGACCTAGACTAGCCGCTGTCAGGGGTCTTGGGAAGACGTCCGCTGGGTCGCAAGCATGCCAAAGAGAGGGAAGAAGGCGGCAGTGCGTTTCCATAATTCTATTTGGAGCAAAGTTTTCAGTTTCCATGTGAGAGATGAACTATGAAGGTGAGGTCAATATGACCAATGACTGACCGACTGTCCTTTTGGGAACCTTTACTCTAGATCTCCATGTACAAAAGGGAAGCAATCCATTACTCATTTCCACTCCTTCCCCCACCCCGCTCATTCCCCTCCCCCCAAAAAAAAGTACAGGTTTCTACCGAACGCATTTACAGTTTGGCTCCAACAACATGTATAAAAGGAAAGAGCTTTGAAAGAAAATAGAGGACTCTTGCTTGTTTTTCTTCATTGTTGTCATGGTTTAGGGTAATCATACAGTTGCGGGGGGGGGTTCGTGGGTTTGGATTGCTGGGTTTTCTGTTGAACTTCATGCAAGTCATGCTAAGGAACCCCTCCATCCCACCCCCTCCCCGAATAAATTAAAAGTTGTTTTTTTTTTTAAAAAAAAAAGGAAAAGAAGGAAAAGAAATCCTCTACGGTCAGTTACCATTTGGCCGTAGAAAAGCTACGTCCGTCCTAGTACAAGGCCTGGGCCACTCGGACTCGTCCGGCAAACCTGCATGGCGTGAATTTACTCTGTCCGAGGGCGAGGAGGGGCTGCAGGTCCACCCAGATGCTTAATAGCCACCAGTGTCCTGGGCCAAGTCGCCTGGTCAAGTCACTCTCACAGCCTCTGTCGGCATATACTTAGCAATGACAGGGCTTTCTTTGCAAAGATCTGTATGTAAAGAATACAATTAACACTTGAGCTTCTCTTCTTGGCTTTCCCATCCCGCTTGGTACTTAGTTTTTAAGGAAGGAGGAGGAAAGACTGAACAGCCGCATGCAGAGGCAGGCAGGATCTTCTCCAGCTGGCTTGGTTCTCCCATGCAGTGAGCCAGCCCAGCACGCCTCTTTCTCTCTCTCCTGGGGGAATGGGTTGAGCCCCTAACTGTTCTCTACCCTGCACACAGCTCATGGCCTGGCATTATCCTGAGAAAAGCAAGTCCTCAGCGGCTGTCATGACTCCATGAGAGCGGGACCAGGTGGATGCGGGTGGGGTCACCCCACCCTTGGTGCCTCTGGGGGACTGCAGAGTGGGTACCACCTGTGGAGAGTGGTTGCCATCGGACTCCTTGCTCCCTACCGGCTGCTTCTGTCCCACACACCCTGGGCTTCTGGAAGCCCAGTCAAGAAACTCTCCTGTCTGCTCTTTCAGGCCACACAGATAGATCCAACATTCAAGATGAGGGAGACAGGCAGCCCCATAAGACCTTACCAGCAGAGCGCAGCCATGGGGAGTGGTCTACGTGCCTTCCTCTCCCATCCCCTGGCCTTGCCCCTGATCCTGGTTTTCTAGAGCCTCCACTTGGGAGAAAGCCGGTTGTGAAGGGGAGCTTCAGGCCTATCCATGGAAGCTGCCGAGGACAGGGCAGGCAGCCCCCAGGCCGGCAGCCCCCCTTCCATGCAGCACCATGCGGGGCGTGGTACGCCGCGCTGGGGTCCACAGGACCTCCAGGCAGGGCAAGGAAGCAGAGGCCAGCCTGGATCAGGAGAGCACGCCAAGCACCAGAAAGACATCCCCCGTCTCCGTGTGGGCTGCCTCTCCTCTTCTGGGTTTGCCCTTTATTTTGAATTCTCTGTTTTCTCCTCGCATATTATTGAACCATTTCAAATACTGGAGCAGTTGTGAATGGCCACCAGCTACACCAACTGTTGCTCTAAAAAACCAGCTATCTAGCCCGACCTGCTCACCCCAGTCAGCATGCAACCATCCTGTGTGAGCCTGTGAGCCGCTCCCCAACATGCATGAGCCGCCCAGCCAGCCCGCTATGCCGAGGGTGGCTTCCTCCGCCTTCCAGGCCCTTCCCGGTGTTTGGAGCCTGGATCTAGGGTGCGCTGGGTCCCCGCCCCAAACCTCTCCCCAGTCCATGCTCAAGCTCTAGTGGAAGCCTTGTCCCCAGGAGGTCGGTTTATAAGACAAGGGTCTGATTCAACCCTGACCACCACAGGGCTCTGCCTTCACCAACCACAAGGGGTCGCTGACCACACCTGGGGCCGTGGCTAATGGGTGCTGAGGTTGGAAGGGGTTGCACGGAGTCCTACATAACCACCTCCTCTTGGCTAGTTTCATATCTGCCACTCGCAGTGTTCTGACTGGTACATACCTTACCTCTGCAAGGACGCTGACCTCACTGCCAAGCCTTTAAGCTATCTCTCTTGTCATGACACCCCGCCTCCCCCATCTGGTCTATGAATTCTCTTTAAAGGATGCCTCTTCCAGAACATGGCTTTTGGGTGGCTAGGCCCACAGGGTCCTGGCCAGCCCATGCCTACCCTGTTGCTCTCCCCAGCCAAGGGACAGGAGAGATCACTTTGCCGATGGCGTCTGAGCTGCCATCTGCCAGAGTAGCCTGGGGGAAGTACAGGATCTTCCCACATCTCTGGGTAACCCTCTGTCTTGGGGGAACGTAGTCGGCCAGCCTGTCTCCAAGTCCCCTCCTACCCCTGAGCTCCATTCCAACCCATAGGTGCCTGGACCTCAGGTTCTCTCCGCCAGCCTGCCGTCCCACTCGGGGAGGGTGGGACTCAGACCTCCGGGGGCCGACCCTGGGGCTCCTCCTGCTCCCTGCCCCCGCAGTGTGCCTGCCTGCCCCTCGGCGCCCCTCGCCCGCCGCCCCGCCCACCCATGTGCAGGAGCACGAGGCAGGCCCGCTGACGCAGAGCACCCCGGCCTCCTCTACATACCCTTTCTCACTCCTCCACCAGGTGGGCACGCGTACTCCCCAGTTGATAAGAGGAAGCAGGGTCCGTATCTCTCGCGGGTGCCCGAGCGCGTAAAAGGCAGGCCCTCATCGGGAGTGAGGGCCTGGTCTATGTGGGGGCAGTCTTCGTTCGCCAGCGCGGCCTTCGCCACCTCCCCATTCAGTTTGGAATCTTCAAACATATAAGCAGAAGCTATTGAGACACTGAAAACTGTTTAGTGCGGTGGGGGGGGACAGGCCAGAGTGGGACATCAGCAAAGGGCAGCCCGAGACTGAGAACAGAAACGTGAGCGGGAGAGGCACGAGGCTGGGGGTCCCCAGCTCGTTCGGGCAGCCTTTGGGCTGCCCACAGTGCTGGGGAGGAGGGTTCCTGGGTTTGCTCAAAGTTTGCAAAAAGATGAGTAGGTGATGGGCCCAGCAAGCGCGGTGCTGGGGGGCCGGGCCCAGCGTCCAAGGCGGGGCCAATGAGACAGGATGGTGTGGATGCGGTCATGGGTAGAGGGCCAGACACAGCACTCGGGGAGAAGACAGACAGACACGCAGAAACACTCCTGTCCAGAGCGGCAGCCTTTTCTGATCCCTCTGCTGCTGACCAGAACCCGGCTGCCCCCCGCCCCCACATCCAGCTGTCTGCTCAGGCATCCCTGGGCCCCACCAAAACCCCAAGGGTCAACTCTACCCCAGGCCTCGTGTGGGGCCTCTGGCATCTGCTTCATGCTCTTCCCCCACCACACCCTATCTGATCACTCTATCCCACTCCCATATGGACCTCATCCAGTTACTCTCTGTGCTCCATCCCCCATACAGCCTAGGCCTGGTCATGCAGTCTCCTGGTCCCCCATGCAGTTGACCACTGAATCTGCTCCCTCTCTGCACAGACTTAAGCTGGTCACTCAGTCCACTCCGGTCGCCACCCAGACCAAGCCAGGGTCTTCCACCCCGCTCTGCCTCAAGCAGGCCTCGTCAGCTTGCACAGGCGCAACAAGAATGCAGGCATGAGGCAGTGACAGCGGCCAGGGTTTGGGAGGGGCTCCCACTCCTCCAGTCTCCTCTTGGCAGCGTCCCCCGCAAAGCAGAGCAAATGGATGTGTAAAGACAACAGCGGCTGATGGACTCGGGTGGGAAAGACGAGTCTTGGCCTCTGCGGTAGCCTGAAGAGGAAGCTGGGAAGAAGTTTGGGGGCACATTTAGTGAGGGCACAGCTCTGGCCAGAGCAGGGCACTTCCCCAAATCCAAGAGCAGCATCGTGGATGCCTCTGGAGCTGGCAGACGGGGCTCTGTCGGCCTCTGCCCCCACCCATCACTCTTGGGGACCCCTCCCCTGCTTTCTGCCCTCCAAGCAGACTCTTCCTGGTTAGGGTGGCGCAGACTCAGTCCCCAAGGTGGGCCCTGGTGGTGGTAGTGGTGGTTTATTCACTAAGTTGTGTCCGATTCTTGAGACCCCATGGACTGTGTAGCCCACCAGGCTCCTCTGTCCATGGGATTGTCCAGGCAAGAATACTGGAGCGGGTTGCCATTTCCTTCTCCAGGGGATCTTCCCAACCCAGGAATCGAACCCGTGTCTCCTGCATTGCAGGCAGATTCTTCACCGACTGAGTTACGAGGGAAGCCTGAGGTTTCCTCAAAGACTTCCTCCAGGGTGAGAGCCTCAAGGGCAGACCCAACGTGGGCGTGACCACAGGGGGAGGCCCTCTGAAAGGCTAAAGAGGGGCAAAAAGCTGGAGAGAGTCTCCACCCGATTTGACCCTCTTCCATGACCCTGTTCACATCATGTAACTACACGCAGAAGTGATCCTTCTCCGTGTGCACACACTCGGCGTGCCCGCGGGCGGGACCACCACCCGTGTACACATCATGTCACTACAAAGAGGCAGTCAGTCAAAAGAGAAATGGACCAATCAGGTTTATTCGTAAAGCAAATCCAAAAAAAAAAAAAAAAATCCCATCATAATTTTGGAACTTAAAAAAAAAAAGTCTGTTGTACAAGATGGCAAAGCATTTCATGTACAGTGTGTTTCTTGACAAATCCCAGGGGCTTCACTCCCCAATTCACTCTGAACCAGAAAGGCCAGTTACCAAGGTAACTCTGATAACCACGTGACTGGGGTTGGGGCCTCTCTGGGGAACTGGGGGCTGCCTAACACTGGGGGTGTGTCTGAGAGCACACAGGTGTGCACACAGACCACCCCGGCCCTGCCTCCCATTCTGGCTGGCCCGCCCAAGGGTCTCTGGAGAGAGGGGAAGGAAGTGTAAGGGAGGAGGTAGTGGATAGGGGGATGGAACTTGGAGCCCATAGTACCCTGTACACATTTTCTTCTAGGGGAAAACAGTGAGTCCTGCCAGGCAGCACCTCCATCTGCAGGGAGAGCCAGAACTTGCGATCTCTCTACTGGCCATCACCTCTCAGCGGAGGTATCTACCACCTGCAGGGCTCACCCAGGGTTGGGTAGTGGAGCCTGAGACCCTCCGTGTGACTCTGCTCCCCAGCGCCGTGCCCCTGGGGCAGCCAGCTCCCACAGCCTTTAGAGGACCTGAAGTTGAGGCTGGTTTCCCTGCAGGGGTCGGGCCTGGGGGCAGTTGAGTGGGCTGCCTGGGTGGGTGTGAGCCAGACCCCCTTCCCTCCTTGGAGCCTGCTTCTTCTCCCAAACATGACCTCCGAGAAGAGGCCAAGCCTGGGTGGGAGTGTTTGGGTCCTGCTCTCTGAAGGAGCCAGCCTCCCTGGGCTGTGGGCTTCTCTGTGATGTGGGGTGCTTTCAGAAACTGGGAACCATACGCTCCCTCCCCAACTCCAGAGGAGGGCTGGAAGAGACTGGCCAAGGAGCAGCCAGCTCACCAAACCTGAGGAACTCATGAAAAAAGCCAGAGGCGCCAGCTCACCCAAGACTGCCCCCTCATACCCTGACCTTGTCCTTTAGATGAGATGGTCACCAGGTCCCTCAGCTCCCACCTGCTCCCCAGAAGGCAGGGAGCCCTGCCCTCCCTGGTCCAGGGCCCCTCGGCCCCCACTAGACCCGAGGGCCTGCGATGATGAAATGGCAGCATGGGCAGCGTCTCACAAAGATGGTTTCCAGGCTTTGAAATGGGCTGAGAGAGATGAGCATCCGCGAGAGGGTCATTTTTTTTTAAACTTTGGAGCAAGGAGAACCCGATGTCAGGCTGGCTTGTGTGCCCTGGTCTCCAGGCACCACCAAGGTACTTACTGTTCACACCAGCAGCGGGCGCCGGGGGCGCACGCAGGGCTAGGGTGGGGCAGGTGGGGTGGCTGGGAGTTTCCTTGGGTTTAGCCCCCCAGAGGGGGGCTGCCCAGCTGGGGGCTCAGGGGAAAAGCCCCAGGTTAACTGGGGACGGTCTGTGAGAGACACGAGCTGAGTACAATCACGAGAACCGGCACAAGTCATGCAACAGAACGAGGAGAGAGAGAGAGAAACATGATTAGTGGAGAGAGAGAAAGAGAGAGCATGTGAACAACACAGAAAAGAACACCCAGTCCTGGCCCTCAGAACCCCTTATTTCTCCGCTCCTTCCCCCTTAGCCACCTGGGGGCCTCATTGACCCCACTCAGGGCCCCCCGCTGCCCACCCTGGCCCTGCATCTGAGCAGAAACTCAGTTAGTCCCTGCGGAGGGGCCCTGCTCACGCCCTACCTGGTCACCCTGTCTCAATCTCGCCACCTCCCCTGCCCCGGGGGGTACACCACTTTCCGCACCCACTGCAGCCAGCAGGGGAGGGCCGAGGCGGGGGGCGCTTTGGACTCAGATGCTCAGGGCAGACCCCGGAGGCTGCAGGGGCAGCTCTGTCCCAGCTTAGGGCAGACCCAGGTGGGGGTGCTTTTCAGGACCTCACTGCTGCCCTAGGTGCTCATGGACAGGAAGGGGGAGGTCTGGCCACCACCCGCCCCCTCTGCCAGCCCCCTGCTCACCTATGGTGGGACCCCACAGCCCCAGACGCAGCACCACAGAGGACCAACCCACATCACAGGAGCAGAGATGGACGAGACACACGTGAATGCACATGCCAGGACAGAGGGAGCACTCTGAACTGCCCAGAGCCGGTGGTCTGGGCCCCCGACTGCAGGTCGGGGAGGGACCCCCTTTCTGCGAGAGAAGCAGCTTCTCCTGGACTAAAAACCCGAGTCCCTGACCATGGGGGTGCCATCCTGGCATCCCCCCATGAGACCCTACAACCCCTGCCGGGACGAATCCCCCAAACACTGGGGCCACGTCAGCCATAGTACCGAGGAGACCAGACACTCGACCTGAGGCTGCAAGAGAAACCAAGATGGGGAGGGGAAGGGAAGGCGCTGCTGACATGTCTGGGGTGGCTTGCCTGAGTCCCAGGAGTCTGGCCCTGGGCAGGGGGTGCCCTCAGAGTCCGGCATCTTGCACTTCGCCCCAACCCAGGTTCTAAAGGTGAAATTGGAGAACCCAGGTCTCACTGGGCCAGCTGACTGCCCTTGGTGTGGAGTGAGGTTGTCAAGGTCTTGGGGACTGCATCTCAGCTCTCAGTTCCTACAGGGTCCAGCTTCCCCCCCGTATTTGCCTTCCTCACCTCTGGCCTCCCCCGCACTCACTCACTAACACACCCCAACCCCATGCCCACCAAGGAGCACAGCTGCAAGCAGAAAAGGAGGCCAACGGGAAGGGACTCAGGGATGCAGAGATGGGGAGACACTCCCTAAGGATCACACACTCTCTGGGTGATAATTTGGTTCTCACACACCAGCTTTCAGAGGAAGGAGGGTTCTGGTGAGGGACCAGACTCAGAGTAGGTCTGGGACGTCAAGACAGCACCGCCAGGAGCAGTGAGAACTTGGGAAAGGGGAGGAGGCAGAGTGTGGGACAGGAGGGAGTGAGGCATCAGGGCCCCAGAGAGAAGGGCTCCAAGTACCTGGCTTAAGCCAGGACAATCTGGATCCCTGAGACCTGGAGCCAGGGCAAAGAGGGTCCCAGGGACAGGGCTGTCATGGTGGTGGGGTGCAGGGGCTCTAGGAGGAGTGTACAGGCTTTCAGGGAAGAGGGCCTGTGTCCTGGGGCTAGCTGGTGTACATATCAAAACACACATCTGCACTCTGTGTGTGTGTGCACATGCATGCATGTGTACACGTGTGTGTGCATGTATGCATGCACCCCTGCCCTCAGCACATGGAGAATACTGGCATTGTCTGGGATTGAAAGATTTGTGCCTGGCTGGAGTGAATCACTGGGGAAGATGGGATGGGGGCCAAGGAGTGCCATGGTGATGCCACTCAGGCTCACCTCTTCCTGCTGAGGACTGGAGTGAAGTTAGGGGCGAGGCCCAACCAGACCCTTTCCCAGAGCCCCAGGAATTTTCCTCGCTGTGATGGTGATCCTGAGGTCGAAATGATCCAAAGCAGAGAGGTGGGGCAGGGCCTTTCCATGGCCTATGCCTGGCTGGCCAAGCAGAAGCCAGGCATTGGCCTAGGAATCCAGCCCAACCCCAGGCCCTCCCATTCCAGCCTCTGAGACCCCTGCCCTGCCCCTGGCCCAGCCTAGAACACTAGCCACATTCCTCTCAGGTGTCTACAGGGATCCCAGGGAGTGGGGAGGGGTATGGGACCAGGGGAAGGGGCTGGAAAGACCTCAGACAGAGAGGTGGACTTTGGGGGTACCACTCTGGGCAGTACAGCTATGGGATGAAGCCGGATGAGGAGTAGGATGGGGTGGTGGGCCAGAGAGTGGGGCATCAGGGAAGAATCAGTCAGCCACTGGGGAGGCCATTCAAACCAGGGGACAACTTGCTCCTCTAGGGCTGAGAGAGCCTGCAGCCCCTACCTCCTGCCCTGGGCACAGGGGTGTCTTCTGCAGACTAAACACTACCTGTCACTCACTCAGCCTCCCTCACCCCGGCACTCCTTCTGAGTTCAGTGCTGTCATGCTTTTCTGGGTCGTTCATTCCCTTCAAATCCCTGTGTCCACAGAATAAGTCGATGGTATTCCATGGGTAGAGGTAGACTATGGGCTTTATATCTTCGGACCAGAGCCCCATGATCAACTTTATGTGCTATGTGCAGGTTCTCATAAAACTGAGATAGTCCCATAACGAACCACTAGCCATGGAATATGAGAATATATCCCACAGTGACTAGTATTGTTTCATGGCCCCCCTCCCCCCTCCCTGACCCCCACTGAATTCACGGGAAAGTGGGCGTACACTGGTTGGGATGTCGTGTATTGCTGCTGCAGTCCCTACTGCCGGAAACAGGGAACACTCTCAGTGGGAGGTTGTTGCTGGTCTGAAGCGCTTTCATCTAAGCTGCCCGGGTGGTGGCCCCCTCTAGTCCTTCGCTCACCAGCCGCTTCCATCAGAAAGAAGGCCACCAGAAACTCCCACTGGACCATCAACCCAAACAGACAACGTGAAAGCTAAAGTCACTCCAACAGGTTCCTAAAGATAAACGCTAAACTCTAGAGTGGTGGTAGAAGATGAGCTGGTTCCGCATGCTGTGGGGTGAGTAAGCTTGTTACGGAGGGCAAGAGGCATCTCCGAGGACACGCCTGGAGCTAGGCAGCCGGCATCGGAGCAGGAATGCTACTTAGCTATGGAGACAGGCTCTGCGGGGGGGTGAGAATCCTTGCTGCTGTCTCTGCAGGGACCTCCTGCCAGAGCCCAGGCACCATCAGTGCCATGTGCACGGCCCGAAGGGAGCCGTGTAAAGACCAAATGGGCAGCTGTCTGGCATTTCCCAATCACACCCACCTCGCCCCGCCGTGACTCTAGGTCAGTGGCCTGAGTCAGCGACTCATGCCCAACTCCTGCCCATTGAGCAGCGGAGCCCCTGGGCTCCTGCTAAGAGAGTCCTCAGCAACCTCACGGGCCGTGGCATCTCTTCAGAACCCCACGAGACCAGTGTATCAACCTCCTTACCGGGAGCCACCAGTGAGGTTCTAGCAGGCTCTCGCCTAGTGAATTTGGCTGCCCAGCATCTCCCTGGGCCCCCAGACGCCACACCTCGAGACTGAGCGTGGGGTCCAGAGTCACCCACGGAACTAAGGAAGCAGTCTGACTGAATCTGGAATCATTGCTACAGGGGGCAGAGGTGAAAGGTCAGATCGACATGCCTCTAAGAGGTTTCCTACCTGCTCTGTTAATTTCTAAAATTTCTTCCTGGGCCAGCGGGCATGTGTCACTCTGAGTACTGTGATGTGGAGAGTTTACGACAGATTTACAATAATTGGGAGATCCCAGCTGCGGTGGCCGCGGAATATGCTTCTTTTTTTTCTTTGGTAGTTTCTGCTTAGCCATGGCTAAGGAGTAATACATCCCGAAATTGTTCACGATGACGGGCACAGGCATGGCGATGGTCAGCACACCCGCCAGCGCACACAGCGCTCCCACCAACATGCCGGACCACGTCTGCGGGTACATGTCTCCGTAGCCCAGCGTTGTCATGGTGACCACAGCCCACCAGAAGCCGATGGGGATGTTCTTAAAGTGGGTATGCTCACTGGCGCTGGGGTCATTGGGCTGCGCCCCTATCCTCTCGGCATAGTAGATCATGGTGGCGAAGATCAGGACACCCAGAGCCAGGAAGATGATGAGCAGTAAGAACTCATTGGTGCTGGCTCGCAGAGTGTGGCCCAAGACCCGCAGGCCCACGAAGTGGCGGGTCAGCTTGAAGATGCGCAGGATACGCACGAAGCGGACGACGCGCAGGAAGCCCAGCACATCCTTGGCGGCCTTAGAAGACAGGCCGCTCAGGCCCACCTCCAGGTAGAAAGGGAGGATGGCTACAAAGTCGATGATGTTGAGCGAGTTCTTGATGAACTCCACCTTGTTGGGGCAGAAGACCACACGCATGAGGAACTCAAAGGTGAACCAGACCACGCAGACGCCCTCGATGTAGGTGAGGAAGGCCTCTGTCTCCGCCTCCCGGTAGTAGCGCACTTGCGTGCCGTTCCGCACGTTCTCGATCTCCGTCTTGTTCACGATGGGGTTGAAGCGCTCGTGGGTCTCCAGGCAGAAGGTGGTGATGGAGACCAAGATGAAGAACAGGGAGGCAAAGGCCACATACTGTGGAGGAGAAACACACAGTGTCAGAGGGGAGGCCCTTCCCCCAATGCAGAGAGACTGGGTACCTCTGGGCCAGGTCCAGTCTGGGGCCAGGATGGGCAAGATGCCTGCAGGATGCCCCCTTCTGACATGGGCCAGGCTGGCAGGCCACCGTTCCCTCTTCAGGGCGTGGAGTATGGGGTTAGGAGACCTGAAGGGTTAAAAGGCTGTGGTGGAGATTTCTCTGTTTTCAGAAATGCCTTTCCTTTCTTCCTGGATGCCTGGCTAGACCATAATTTCCCAGCCTCCCCTCCAGGCTGGGTGGTGTCATATGACTGGTCTCAGGCCATCCAACAGTGCACAAAAGGGTGTGCGTGAAGGCCCAGCCTGGCTCACAAAACCTTCCTGCTCAACCTTTCATGCCCTCTCTCTTTCCCTGACTGCCAGTCAAATGCTGAAGCCCGAGGAAGCCAGCAGGGCCACCATAAGAAAGTAGTTGGGTCCCTAGAAAGAAAGACACCTACTAAATACACAGGTGGGAAATAAACTTCTACTTTGTTGAGACGCTGCACTCTAGATGTGATTTATTAAAGCATTTAACACCCCACCCCACCACTGATAAAAGTGACCTAGGTGGCTGAGGCCGAGGTTGGCAAAGAAAGGAGGGTGGGGAAGCTATGGTGGAGCCAGGCCCCTCAAAGGCCATATCTCCCATCTTTCTTCTGTCCCTGTGCTAGGCTGTTAACTCTCTTTTTCATGGATCTGTACCTCACGCAGGCAGTCTCTTCATGTTCTATCCTATGTTCAATTGCAAAAGATGTATCTTCCCCAAGGCCTTACACAATTCTTTTACCCACTTCTCTCTATTGTCCCAGGAACTCACATCACGGATTGGAAGTAAGTTACCCATGCCGGAGATATGGAAATAAAAACTAAATGGTCATTTGTCAGAGATACTGTGCTGCAGATTCAGGCATAAGGAAGAGAATAGGACTGGGGTCCTCAAACCCACCATAAACCATAGACAGCTTTGCTCCTGCTGCTGCTGGCTGGCCCCAGGGGAAGGGTGTGGGTGGGAGGAAGGAAGAAGCTGCTGGGGAACTAGGGTTTTTCCAAACATATGTGGGTGCCTGGTCCTTTCAGATCCCCCACCCGGGTGAGAAGGAAATGGCCAGGATAACCCAGTCTTTCCAGAATGGCCTGCTCTGGCCCCGCTCCCTGAGAGAGGTTCAGCAGACTTTGTGGTTTGGTTTGGTCACCCTCACCCCCATCTGATGACCCACTGGGCTTCTCTAACCACAAGCAAACATGGGTACCCTAGGAAAGAAAATCAAGCAGCTGTCAGAGTTTCAAACCTTCCTGCTCAGACTGAATTCCAGACAAGGGCTCTTCTTACAGCCTCCAGTCTGGGATCATGGAACTTTAACACTGCCCTGGGTGGAGGACCCTGGCCAGGGGGTTCTCCTCCAGGAACCCAGCTTTCTTGTTCCTGCTGCTTCCCTCCCCTCTGGATTCCCCTTCTCCCAGCCTGTCGAGACAGACCATGAATGGTGCAAGGCCATCTCCCTGGAGGCAGCTCTGGGCTACAGTCTAGAATGGGTGGCAAGTTCATTCTCCAGAGCTGCCTTCACAGAAAACTTCATGGAGTGCCAAGGTGCCACCCTTTATCTGCCACAAGAGGCAGCTGTGCTGCTTCTAGTAATTTCTTTAGTTTGTACCTCCCCACTTCGTGGTGACCCTGTCTGGGTTGACCATAGCCATGAGACCAGACACCCAACCTAGCACAGATCTAGAAATGAAGAACTGTGTAGACCTTCAAAGACACATTCCAGGTTGAGAGAAAGGGAGAGGAGAGGGAAAGGGACAAAGTCAGCATTTTATAATATCAGAGTAAGAGCAGCCTTTTGAGATTATCTGGTCCAAGACACTGCATGCTATAAATGGGAAGTCTGGGGCACAGAAACAGGAAGTGATCTGCCCAAGCCACTCATCATGGCATGCTGGCTCCTGCTGGCTTTAGAGAGTCATACAATTTTCAAAAACTTGACCCTAGACTATATCGAGTGTGACCCCTCTGCCTTCTTCCTTCCATCCATCCTTCCTTCTTCCCTTTCTTTGTTTCTTCCTTTCTTTCTCCCTTTCACCCATTCATCCTTCCTTCCTTCTACCCTCTCTCCCTCCTTTTTATCCACATATCCATTCATCCTTCTTTTCTCTCTTCTTCTATTCCTTCCTTTGGTCCTCCTCCCTTCTCTCCCTCTTTTCCATCCAACATGCATTTATTCATTCGTCTCTTCTTCTAACTTTTTCCTTCCTCCCTCCCTTCCTTCCTTCCACCTACCACACTTTTTTCCTTCCATTCCTCACCGAGCACCAGGCTATGCCCAGCACGGAGTGCAGTAAGACCTCAGCCCTGCCCCGAGGGAGCCCCATGCACAGCTGAAGATAAAGAACACACACAGAGACAAGTAAAATGCAGTGGACTGAAAAGGTGAGCCCCCATCAGCACTGAGAAGTAGGTGGGGTTTGGACAAGGTGAGGGCAGGGCAGGGACTTAAGCCAGATTTTCCGACTCCAGAAACAGCACTTTAAAAGTCCAGATAGTGCTGACCTGGGACACCACAGGGGCAGGCCAGGAAAGCAAAGTGGAAGCAACTGGAAGAGGTCATCAACTCCAATCCGGGTTCATCCAGCTCCAGCGCTTTTTCCTTTAGCAGTTGTCAAAGCTCTTGGAGCTAAGAACACATCCCCAAATGCTGGGTATTTGGCCTCAGACTTCCTCTGAAGGGCCCCATCTTAGAGCTTGGAATTCACAGCCCAGTCTCCCAGGGCCAGGTCACGTTCCTCCCCTGGTCTTTTTGAGAGAGGAGAGGACCACGGACTCTGAGTATCTAAAGGATGCCAAGAGGCTGGGCCTGCTGCATCTCTGGGCTCCTGATCCTGGCCAGTGGTAGAAGGCAGGAGGCGCTGCCTCTCCCCTTTGCTCCATCAGACATGGCATCCCCTTCTTAAATCGTCCCACAGCTGTCCTCTGTCCCCTCCATGCACATGGGGCTTTCTGTCAGTGGGGTCCCTGTCATAAAAGCCAGCATGTCGTAGGCTTCAATCACAGCCACCAGTACAGCATCCACCCAGTTATTGGGGGGGCAAGCACTGGAATCCCGGCTCTCTGTTCGGCTGTCTGGCCATGCTGTCCACAGAGAAAAGCCCTGACTTCACAGCCTAGCACGTGAGGCTCCCTGTGCCCTGACCGCATCGACTTCCCAGGGGCCTCTGCCTGCATGCACCCAACATTCTTGCCACATGCAACCCTCTGCCATCTCTGAGCTTCCATCTCTGTGTCTCTGCACCTGCTGCCCTTTCCTCCTGGGTGTTCCTGCTGATCTCCACGTGGAAAAACCCATCCACCCATCAGTGCCCCACTAAGTAGCCCTTCTGGGACATCTCTTCCAGGGAGACTTCTCCTTGGCAGCTGAGGCCCTTAGGAGGCAGTAAATGAAGTCCCCCCACCCCACCGCCCAAGGAGCCTCTAAATTTCCCGCAGGGAGGCAGCGAGGCTGTCTCCAACTTGTGCTCATTAGTGCTTGGGGAGCCTCACAGAAACAGCCCAGGGAGGGCACTGATGTCCCCGGGGGCTTGTCACTTCCTCCCAGGTGCCCCCAAAGGCCCTCAGAGCTCTACGCCCATTGGCTCTTCTTGCACAACAGGTCCTGACAGGAAAACTGAGGCCCAGGAAGTGGTCAAGTCTTCTAAAATTAGGATAGACAAATCCTGGGTTCTCAGGGATCGGTGGCCATCCCTTTCAGATTTTTTTCCTCTCTGGGCTTCAGTGACCAAGGAGTGGGGGTGCTGGGATGGGCAGCAGTGATCAGCCTTAGAGTCAGATACCAGGACCTCTTCCCCAGAGGGGCTGGGGAGGTGGAAGTCAGGCTTCCTAGACTCTGCTGCTGGACCCCAGTCCTTTGTCACAGGCAGGGCCCCAGCAACGTCTGGGTCCAAGTGGGCCCTTAGGATCGCTGTGGAAGAAAGCACCCCGGCTTGCTCAGACTGCCACAATCTCCTAAGCCTAGCGACTAGCAAGTCAGCCCCAGCGCATCAAAGCCAAAGCAAGAGCCCACGGCCAAGCGAGTTTGTAGTGCCCTCCTGCCCATCCTCAGGGAAGCTGAGCCAGGAAGGAGAGAGGAGAAGCTGTCAAAGCTAAAGGCCTAGGGCTTCCCTGGTGGTCTAGCCATCAAGAACCTGCCTGCCAATGCAGGGACACGGGTTTGATCCCTGGTTCGGGAAGGTCCCACTTACCGTAAAGCAACCAAGACTGTGCACCACAGCTATTGAGACTGTGCTCCAGAGCCCGTGAGCTGCAACTACGGAAGCCCGCATCCCTAGAGCCTATGCTCTGCAACAAGAAAAGCCACTGTAATGAGAAGCCCGAGCACCACAATAAAGAGTAGCCCCGGCTTGCCACAACTAGAGAAAGCTCGTGCACAGTAACAAAGACCCAATACAGCCATAAATAAAAATTAAAAAAGAAAAGCTAAAAGGCCTACTGTGCACCTTTAACCTTTCCACAGACCTGGTGAGACAGGTGGTTGTACCTTATTGTGCCAAGAAGGAAACAGAGAGGTTCAGGGACTAAACCAAGGTTTAAGGCTAGTGATGAAGCTGAGGCTTGGACCCAAGTTGATCTGGCTCCATTGTCTAAGCTCTGTCCACCACCAGAGATGCCAAAGCTTTGGAGGCTAAAAACACAGCTCTGTGCACTGGGGAGCTGGCCTTGATTGTGTCTGGATGGTTCAGTCTTGGAGCTTGACACCATAGCTTGGACTCCCTGAGATCAGGTTATTTCTGTCCCCAGTGAGAGACAGAACCAGGATACCTGAATCCACAGGCTGGACCCCAGAATGCCTGAAATGGTCTTGGGCCTCGTTGCCCAGTGCTCACTAGTGCCTGGGGCGGGGAGTCTGCCCCATCTTGCTCGGGGAATCAATGCCGACAGCAGCCTCAGATGGCCCAGCCTGCATCTC